CGTGTGATGGTTAGTTTTAGCAGAAAGTCCCCAAATTGGGGCAGCATAGGCAATATTGTTAATGCTCAGTGGTTCGTGTATAGGAAGCAGTATACCAATTACAATTTAATGCTTTATCTTGCTTATGAAGTAAAATTCGTTTTCTTCTAGAAATAAAAGTCTTCAAATGTTTCTTCCTCATTTCTAAGAATTATATTTCAAAAACAGAAATTTCAAATCAGATTTGAATTTCAGCTGAAATACTGGAAAACGTCTGAAATAATTTGCATATTTTCATTTTTAAATGATCGTAATGAATTTACGTCGTCAGTGAATTTATGATCGTCAGTGAATTTACGTTTGTCACGTGGATTTCACGGATATTTTTTATGCTTTCAAAAAATTATTTTATTTTAAAATATATTAATAATTATTTTAAAATTCAGAATTGGGAAATGTTTTGAAACTTTTGGTTATAATTTTCACGAAATGTGACCTCTATTAAATAGTAAAAATGAATTTTTCATTATAAAGCAGCACAGTACGAAAATTTTTTTATATTCATTGCAAGTATTATCATTTATATTATATGACAGCTATAGATATCCATCTTTTTTCGGAGCATATGACTTTTCTTTTCCTATATTATGTGCAGTATTATTACAATATGTTATAAACAAGAATAGGGAAATCAAATAAGTATTGAATGTAATTCAAAATGAAATGCCAGATATATGACATTGTCACCAAAAGGCTTTAAAAGGCCACCAGGACTTTCAAAGGCTTTCAGTAAACCAGAATTGAAAAACTGAACATTGGAAACAATTTCAAAGATTCATCAGGCAGTAGACCATTTAATTTGATTTATCGATACAGTATATGATGTTTAAGACATTATATGACTTTCATATCACTAGCAAGGGTTTGTTTAGAAGTCTTGGTGGATACATCAAAGAAAATAACTTGCTGAAGCATGCGTCTATATCCTATCAATAATAAGTAATTATTAAATTATTTGTAAATTTTTATTAAAATATCCAAGCCATGTGTTTCAAATTAAAAATAATATTAAAGAAACTAAAGAAAAATCTTATAAATAAAATGGAATCCCAAGGACAATAAACTGGTTTCGTTTTCTGAAATCGAAAATGTGTTTTCACGAAAGCATTATTCGAGCGAAGGAGGTTTATCGAAAATGATTAAACCAGTTACCAATAGGTCATCCCTTCACCGCAACTGCGAATGTAAATGATATCTTTGTGCGAAGTTTTAATTGGCGAAGTCTTGCTAAACTTCAAAGTGTAGGTGGTCAAGAGCGAGAGTTTATTAAGACAGCTGTGACACATGAAATTATCTGTGATAGCTTATTTATTGATGAGGTATCTCTTCCGAAGGGAAACAGAATACTTTAGCGGTGCAGATGATGGTAAGCACACATGTTTTGGGAGAATGCCACCTGTCCGGATAAAATTGACCTTTGACTTACAAAAAGGACTAGCCGCCACTTTGATCTGATTAAGTGTCGGCATTCAACCCTACCGATGGAAAGACCTATACGCCCAGATACGGATTTTAAGAGGAAAATCCGGCCAATAATGAAGCAGGGCATGCGAACCGGAGGAACGTAATAAATGTTCTTGAAGACATCATGGGAGAGCGGACTGGAAGAGAAAAAAACATGAGAGAGAGGAGGGAGATCAATAAGCAGAGCAGGAGAGAGAATGAGCTAACTTCGTGATGGTCCGTTGGAAGTTCCGAAGGAAGAAGGTATCCAGTCGCGGAATAACTGATTTAAGTACTCCTACGAGAGTCAATGATCAGGAAAAGAGGCTTTCTGCCTCTCGAAGAAGAGTTCCATTTGCTGCTATCCCCTACTGCCATGCCCTCAGGCAAAGATGCTAAACTTCAATTATCATGGTGCCTTATTTCCTTTGCGTCTGAAGACAACACGTTCATCTGCATATGTAAGCAACCTTTATCTTAATTGAACTTTATTAGAAAGTGCCACTTGGACAACAATTGTGGTAAATACACTGGGAAAGGGATTGGGCTAGATAACCATTAAGCAGCATTATTCTGAGATGTCAAGTCTCATATTTCTTTTTATTGTTGCAGTATCATATATAAATATTCAGATATTTGATTAATGTTTTACAGGTATCACTTGTTCTAACATAATGTTAATTGCATTATTTAATTGTTTAAATTGTAAATATTATTAAATATATATTATTTATTTTAAAATCAGGAAATTTGTATTTGATTTATTACATCTGTATGTGATTCCTTCACCAACATTTATAAGTCACTGAAGACTTTCGAACCTGTTAATTTATACGTGGTAAAGGTTATTGCGGATTTTGAATTACATTATGGTAAGGGATTTTGCGGTATTTTTTAGTGTTTATTGAATGTTTAAGAGAATTGGATTTGCATATTCTGTCTTGGAACAAGTTATCATTGTTAGGGTTTTTCAGCTTAGAATTTAAATCAATACCGTATTACTAAAAACCTAAAGAAAAAATATACAATAACTGGTATATTAAAGTAGGTGTCAATTTAGCATTTCGATAAGAAACAATTAGAAGCATTCTCCTTCAAAGTTATTTCCACAGAGGATAAGAATGTAATTTAAAGAACTGTTTTTTAAATATGTATATCAAGTTAAGAGAAATACCTTTTGGAACCCCTTTATTAGCCCAGTCCTTCAAGACTTGCATTTTTGTTTGGTGTTCGTAGGGTCCGATAAGGAGCCCTCCGCGTTCTGTACGCATGTAAAAGGATCCTTCCAAGTGCCTCAAAACAGGTGGCTCTGTCTGCAATAAAAATAAATTGAAATGAAGTATCATAGGTATAGTTCGATAACCGATCATGTGGTAAGCTGTGAAGTCGGACCGATTCTGATAGACCGATGTAGGCAATTTCGGGAAGGATTTTAATTGCAATGAAAATAATTTTAATTTTTAATACTAGTATTTTAAATTACATAATGTCAAAAGAAAAATTAGACGAAAACATTTTTTTACAATAACTATTAAATATATTTTTCTCAAAACTATTTTGTGTCGCGTATATCTGATTAGTACCCTTAATAAGGAATCGATTCGTCCGTTCCCGCCGTTAAACCGGATGTTTAACATAACACGCAATCCGTGATTGGACAATTAATTAAAATACTAAAGAAATGTTTTAATTACGCTTTCTGATTTTTTCGTTTCATATCATTAATATAGATAAATTGCAATAACTTTGCAAGCTCATTAAAAAATATAACAGCAATTTCTGCATTTGCATAAGAAATGCATGTTTTATTTTCAAATAAGTTTTATGAATGGTGAATTCGGGTTTAAATAAAACACTAATAGCTTATTAAGACATTAAATTTTATAAATTATTTATAACAATGACAAATATAGACTATATTTTAAACATTTAGAAGTATAAGTTTGAAAACATGCATTATCATTGACAAACAATGAAGCTCGCCAAATGTGTAATTAAAGTAAATTGTCAGGGAGAAACATTAAGTTGATTTAAATCTAACTTTATTAACTATTTACAGTAACAATTACGTAGTTTTACAATAATACATAAACAAGGAGACAAGTTAGCATAAAAAGAAAAGTATTTGCATCGGGGAATTTTTCGTAGCCAATCAACATGGTTGACGGAAAACATATCTGTCTCCGAGGTGAAAAGGGCCTTAGGTTGCTGTTGTTGTTACTTATCCCACTTGGTAAATATCTAATCTAGACAAAGCCCACGAACCCGTATGAACTCATGGTTGAAGGGGAAGGAAGCAGCTTCTGCTGTGATGGAGCACCTGTAGGCAGAAGTCTGACTTCTGCACCGTGACGCTCTACAGTCATATTAGACAGGGACCTACGGCTTAAAGTGGATTCCGAACCACTACAAACATCCATGGCATCGACTCGAACCCGAAACCTGAGGTACCCAGCGCCAGAGCGCTAGCCGCTCGACAATTCAGGCCCTGTGCCTTAGGTAAATGCCATGGCAACTAGCTTAAAGTTACAGCTAACGTTATACTGCAGCTAATAATAGAGTGTCATTTATGAATGAAATGCCTGACTATTCTACAAAATATCGTAAAAATCAACTTGTTTCCATCCATTTAAATAAAATGAAGAGTTTCAAAAATAAAAAAAAAGTAGTAATGATGCTGTATAGAATGCTGTGACGATTTCAGCTACAGCCTCTTGTACAAGAAAGAAAGATTAGGCGAACAATTCAGATTCGATAAGGAAAAAAAAAGTGCAAATAGGCTGTCTTGAGTCTCTCCTCTTGTCTTGGTGAGTAAATAATTTTATATTCTCTTTGATTTTTTTAATTTGTTAATAAAAGGAACAGTAATATACATTTAGCAATATACACAGTCCAGTCTCATTAACGTGACCACCACCTACTTTCGACGTCAACGTGAAATAACCAATCACAAAAGGCAGGTGGCAGCACATTGCAGTGGAGTGTATATAGAGAATTCCACTTAATACTACATCCTACACTCCACTTAAAGCCTGAATATACAATGTATATTTTGGCTTTTGACAGGTGGTCACATTAATGTGACTGGACTGTGTATATAGAGGAAATAAACAATGTATAAATAATAGTTTAATAATTGTTTAAGTTTCTCCCATTACTGGGGACGATTCCTCGCACACAAGAAAACTTTTGGAAGAGCATTCTGCATTTCAATGAAAGCTGTTGTTGTTTCTTATTCCACTTGGCAGACATTTCTAGACCAAGCCCACGAGCCCATACGTACTCATGATTGAAGGGGAAGGAAGCAGCTTCTGTTGTGATGGAGCACCCGTAGGTAGAAATCTGACTTTTGCTCCGTGACGCTCTTACAGTCATATGAGACCGGGACCTACGGCTTAAAGTGGATTCCGAACCACTACAAACACCCATGGCACCGCTGGGACTCGAACCCGAAACTTGTGGTACCGAGCGCTAGAGCGCTAGACACTTGGCCATTCAGGTCCCGAATTTGTGAATGCTAACGGCACGCGGTGTTCCCAGGTGTCACCCACCCAAGTACTGACCGCGCCGAATGATGCTTGACTTCGGTGATCTAACAATGAAAGCTTCTGGCACGAAACGGAATATTTTAAAGTTTACAGAGTATTAGATCCGAAATTAACAAGATACAAAATAAGAAACATGCAAAATATATTTTTCCTTTTTAGAATTTCATAATTTGATTTAAAAAAAAAAAATAAAAGTGAAACCCCCTTTTTTTTCTTTTTGTGTTTAGGTAAAATCTACCGAAGGACAATATCATAGAGCATAACGAAAAATAAAAAATAATTTTTACCCGAATACCTTTAATTCTTTCACTTCTTTGAGTGGTTTCGTAATCATATATTGGTGTTCAACTGGCACTAGCGGCAATTCTGTGTTCGTCAGTCGACCAATCTCATGGGCCCAGAAGCCTGAATGAATAAAAAAATAAAAAAATTCTCATAAAATATTTTGAGCAACGATCGTTGTGTAATTTATATATAAATCCTCTTAAGACACATAATTCTATAAAAAGAATTAGAATAAAAATAATAAAATGCGTAATAAAATGCAAGGCAGCTTTGAAATGAGAAAATTGTATAATATAAAACATTGTTAATGTTAATTAATTTTATAATGTTAAACATTTTTTCCCAAAAACGTAACAGAAAAAAAACCGGAAAATTTTGATCGCGAAATTTCTATTTATTAGAATTTAATGAATTTTGGAAAAAAAATTAATCAAATTAAAGAAAAAAGTCACAAAAGAAAAACAATTGGCTTATTTTTCATCTTGAAAAAGCATAAAATGAAAACATATCAAAACTGCATTTAATGAAAACGTATATATATACACTATCTGGAAGAAAGTGACGGGACACCCCTCGAAAAGTAGAAAAGTCGACAATACAGCTGACACATGTGCAATAATAGGTATCACGTGTCAGCCATATCCTATAAATACTCTGTGGAGTCGACTAGAGTTGTTTTTTGTCAAGATGCCGCCACGGGAAAAGTTGTCTGAGTTCGAGAAAGATGTGTTGGTTGGATTGCATCTTGCCGAGGTGTCAATTAGGGATATATCCCGTCTCCGTAACTGCTCAAAATCAACTGTAGCACGTGTTGTGTGTCGCTACAAGACTGAGGGACACTGTCAGAACAAACCCCGACCCACAGTTCTCCCCAGCAGGGACCGGCGGGTGCTCGGCAGGGAGATTCGAAGTAACCGTCAAACATCCATGGATAACATCGCTAATGAGTTTAGACAAGCCACATGTGTGGCCGTTTCGACCAAGATTCTTCGTATCGAGGCCCATAAGTTAGGTTACACTGGACGTTCGGCAGCCCATAAGCCTTTGATTACGAAACCCAACAAGAAAGCTCGCCTTCGATGGGCCAAAGACCACCGTACTTGGACTCTGGATGACTGGAAACGCGTCCTTTGGAGTGACGAGTCACGATTTACCCTTTTCCGTTCCGATGGACGTGTTTGGGTATGGCGTTTACCAGGAGAATGCCGAGTGTGTTGTCCCGACTGTAAAGTTTGGTGGAGGAGGATTGATGGTATCGGCTTGTTTCTCCTGGTATGGGGCTGTCCCACTGGTGAAGGTTGATGGTGCGATGAATGCCGACATATACTGTGATATTCTCGACAATCATGTCCTTCGTACCTTATGTGGGCAACGTACGGTATGGATGATTGCTGGTATCAAGACGACAACGCAACATGCCATGTTGCAAGGAGGACTCTTGATTGGTATGTGAACAGCAACGTTAAACGCATGGAGTGGTCGGTGCAGAGCCCTGATCTTAACCCAATTGAATATCTCTTGGACGAATTAGACCGTCGGTTGAAGGCCTGCACCCCACTCCCCAAAAGCAAGCCTGAACTATGGAACTTCCTGTTAAACATTTGGAAGGAAATTCCTCCTGCCACTATGGCTAATTTAGTGGAAAGCATGCCCAGAAGTGTTGCAGCTGTGATCGCAGCCAAAGGAGGCCCTACCTCCTATTAATTTTAATAAATATGGGTTTATGTCGTTATAGTGTCGTGTCCCGTCACTTTCTTCCACATAGTGTATATATATATATAACATAATATCCGAGTTCAATGTGATTGCGATCGGCTTTAATATAGTGTTATGACTTCTAAAAGTTAAAGAGTCACGGCAGCGATGTTCCATCTTTGAAATCAGAATGTTTATTAATTCAGTAGGCTGCAAAATCCATTTCAGTGCCAAGGCAGTTCCAAGAAACTGAAGTAAGTTAAGTAAAATAATATATTTTTTAACACATCATGAATTCAAGTCCGGAGAACGTGTTGGCTAACCCGCATAATCTCATCGAGTAATTCTCCACCAGTCAAGCTCTGTGTGGGCCTATGAATTCTCCGTATCCATCTCCAGCATACAGTTTGACTTCATTTATTGTGTGTTTCGAATGAAGCCTTGGAAACTTAACACGCTATCCACCAGGCTGCTCCAGGCCCATTATAAATAAAGTTTTTCGAATAAGGGGATATTAAGTTCTTAATCTGGATTTTTCATTCCTTATTAATTTTTTAAAAACCAATTCCAATCAAGATATTGTTGATTAATATTGATAATTATAACATAATCCATAAAAATTGAAAAATTGTAGTAATATGAGCTGATAATAATTTTAAAATAAATATTACATATAGTATTTATATTACCTGCAAAACATAGATATGTCTCATTTAATCCACAAAATAAATGTTACAGTTTTATTCAATTTCCAATCAGAAAATTGAAAGTAAATTAATATTCTTTATAATGAATCTTCCTACAGAATGTTCCAACGAATGTTCTTTATGGAAACGAATATTCTTTATAGGAACACGAGGCCCACCAATGTTCAACGACAAAAAAATGTCTTTATACATTTTCAGGATTTATGATTGATTTCTGAATTGCTAAATTTCCACTTTTATTTTTTAAATGATATTACAATAAAATTTTTCGGTGAGGTAATTTTATGCAGAGTTGAAGGGGGAAAAAAAAAGAACAAGATATTTGCAACCCACCTGAAGCATTTATAACCTTTTCAGCCACAATGGTTCCTTGAGGGGTCACTACATCCCAAGTACCGTCTTTTCGGGGCTTCAGCCCTTCGACGGGACTACCAAGGGTTATTGTAGCACCATATTTCCTAGCGCCGCTGGCATAGGCCATAGTCAGTGAATAAGGATCGATGTGACCGTCGTATGGATTGTATAATCCACCTAGGATCTAATGAAAATCTTTTAAAAAATTTAAATAAATTCACTGCCTTGTATTTATTTTAAAAATCGCAAGTCTATTTTAAAATTCATATTATTTTGATAAAGGAGGATTGTGATTAAAATATTTTTCGATTAATAATGAACGATATCTATGACTGAGATTAAAATTATTTTAAAATTAAGATTACCAGACACAAAAAAATTAAAATTATTCAGAAAAGACATGAATAAGTTCCACTGAAGAAATTTAGTTTGGAATACAACTGCATATGAAACAAGAAGTCAAACAAACTAACGAAACTTTGAAATAGTATAAATAGTTCTATCCTTATGAAGGGTTCAGTTTCTAATGCTGTATTTCAAATCATTTCTCAAGCGTGAGGAAGACTTTTTTATTTCCTGATTTACTTGATTTCTTTTTCAATACGTTCACAAATTAGGCTTCTGCATAACTTGAAATGCTTAAAATGCATCTTTTTATTCACACGCTTATAAATTATTTAATAACGCATATCCAATTTTTCATAAGACCAAATGCTGGAAGAAAAATTTAAATAAAAGACTTATCTGTCTTTTATTTAAATTTATTATATACGCATTATAAAAAAAATTACACACTTATTTCAATCTTATTTTGAAGTAAGTAAACTGCCATCTTGATTTATATTTTTGAATAATAAAGCCTTCGATTCAGTTTAAAAATACTCCAACAATTTCTTTTCGTGTTGCTCAAAATTAATTTCCTTCTCTATGATTCTTAAAGACCTCTTTCTCACTTCCCTTCTATATATAGTGCTTAAAAGTAATCCTCAGATTAATCTCTCTATATCTATATCTCTATGATCTTCAAGATTTTCTAATTCTTCTGTATCAATATTATTTATTTATAATAATTATTTTTTTAATTTAATGAAATGCCTCTTCAGTAATTTTCTTATCAATTTATTCAAATAAAGAGTTATAAAACTTTAAAAATTAATAGTACGAATAATAAGTACGTCTTTAATGTGATGTTGGCTCATGAAAGGGTTTTGGTTCTAAGTGTCAGACAAGATACTCACTCCATCCATATTAAGTAAGGGAAACAATCGGGCTATCTCTTCAGGCCTGATGATCTTTTGGGGAGCTTTTTGCCACCCTTGCCTCTGCATCTGGTACTTGAATTCTAACAGGCGTTCTTCCGTAGTTGCCAGACGGATGCTGCCAGGACGGTGGAAGCTTAGAGACTGTAATTATATATATATACAGGGTGGTTATAATTAAAGTTCCACTACTTAGACTATCTTGTACTTGTAACCGGCCAGTGGAATGACAAACAAAATTGGTATGTAAACTGCATACCAGATGAGCTAAGGGAATTTCCAAAAATTAAATTTAGTTTTAAACTGTCTGTTAGGGCCACTGTGATTAACAATACTCGAAATTCAACATATGAAATAGTTAACATGAAATAAAAATATCAATTTCAACGTTCATTGGCTAGTAATGAATGCATTATGTTTTGGAGCACATTACATACGATACTATACGGAAAGCATATCTTTCGAGATGTTGCCCTTGCATCACTATCAGACCAATATGACAGTACAAGAACAACTGCCTTGAGGTTCTTAACAGCCAGAAGAGCGACGGTTTTACACCCTATTCCTGGCTAAAATTCTGATTTTTCTGGTCTTTTCAAATCGCTCGTGCGTTAATTAGCCTGCTTATCCTTCTGGAAAGTTAAAATTGGCATTTCTATTCCGTGTTGATCATTTTCTGTATTTGTGGTGCATAACGCCACCTGGAGTACATTTTGAACTAATTTTTATTTTTGGAGATTCCTGTAGT